ATATTCCTGATGAGATCTAAGATGAGTGCGGTCGACTGTTCGGGCTCAGTGACACAAAGGAGTATGTCATCTGCAAATGCGCTAATTTTAATTTCCCTGCTGTGAAGCTCTATTCCTTTGATGCCCTCATGATTTCTAATTTGGACTAGTAGTGGTTCTAGGGCCAGGACGTACAACAGCGGTGATAGAGGGCATCCCTGCCTCGTGCCGTTTGTCAGGGGGAACGGGTCTGAGAGGAAGCCTGCTTGTAGCACTCGGGCTGTGGGGCTTGCATACAGAGCAAATATTTGTTTGACAAATTCGGAGGGGATGCCGTATTTTTGAAGTGTGTGTTCAAGAAATGACCAATTCAATCTGTCAAACGCCTTCTCGGCGTCGAGGGCTTATAAAAGCCCACCCTGTCCCGATCCCCTCAGTTTTTCCAGCACCAAGGAGAGTTTTCTGGTATTGTCCCTACCCTGCCTACTCTTAATGAATCCTGTTTGGTCGTCTCCTATGATAGTTGGGAGGATGGGTGCCAGTCTGTTGGCCAAAATCTTAGCATATATCTTCGCGTCTGTATTAAGGAGGGATATAGGTCTAAAATTTTTGCAGCAATCCGTAGGCTTGTCTGGTTTTGGGAGTGTCACTATCGTGGCCACTAGCATTTCAGGGGGAAGGGATCCTATTTCCGTCGCTGTATGGTATACCTTGAGCAAGTGTGGGGTTAGTATATCTATGAATGTCTTGTAATAACTGTTTGAGAAACCATCTGCGCCCGGGGATTTGCCCGAGGGCAGACTCTTAATTACTGTCCGGATCTCCTGTATGGAGATCGGTTCGAGTAGGGCACTCACTGATTCTTGGTCTATTTTGGGGAGTTCCACACCCTGTAGGTAACTGCGAATAGATTGTGTGTCTGGTGCTGTTACGCCCCCACTTGTGTTTAGGTTATATAGCTGTTTGTAAAAGTGTGCAAATTCCTGCACTATGTCCATGGGATTCATAAGTTTGTCTCCTGCATGTCCTATAAGATGTGGGATTCTATTGGCGGCCTGCCTAGTTCTCAGTCTGTTGGCCAAGTATTTGGTTGCCTTGCCGCTGTGGTGGTACGTGGTGGCTCTTAGTCTATGTATGAAATATTGGGTCTTGTGGGCATTAAGCTCATTTAGGTCTTGATACAGACCTCTTAATTTGTCTGCTAGGGCTGCCGTGGGTGTTTTCTTGTTTTGGGCTGTGTGTATCGCTATCTGTTTGTGGCATTCTAGTAGGGTGGTCTGATGATGTCTCTTTATGTACGCTGATTGTCTGATGAACTGGCCCCTCATCACCGCTTTGTGTGCGGACCACACTGTGTAGTCCGTGACCTCGCCTGTTGCATTCGCAAGGAAGTATTCCCTAAGTTCTATCTTCATACGTTCTACAAACGATTTATCTAATAGGAGGGACTCGTTTAGCCTCCATGTGTTCCTGCCTCTGGTCTGATAGGTATCTTCCACGTCCGTATAGATTGGGCTGTGATCTGACCATGTTATCTCCCCTATCCTGCAGTCTGTCAATTGCGGCATGGTCTTGTTATCTATAAAGAAGGTGTCTATACGTGTGTACGTGTTGTGGACCCTTGAGTAGAAAGTATAGTCCCGGTCTGTAGGGTGTAGTGTTCGCCAGCTATCATATAAGTTGTACAGTGTCAAGGTGTTGGTGAGATTCTTGCAGAGGGCTTGGGTCCCCTTTTTGCGCTTTCCCTGTGGCGAAGCAGTAGTATCTAAGGTCGGGGACTGAATGAAGTTAAAGTCTCCTCCCAGGATGAGCCCTCCTTGTTTATATGTATCTAGTTTGGACAGAAGTGCTTTGAGAAAAGAGGTTTGATTGTCATTCGGGAAGTATGTTGCGCCAATGGTGTATTGTGTATTATTGAAGAGCCCTACCACTATGATGTATCTCCCTTTAGGATCTATGTAGCTGCTTTGTGGCGTGAAGGCGATGTCTTTATGCACTAAGATGGCCACCCCTTTTGTCTTCGTCTCCGATAAGGCATGATACTGTACGGGGTATAGTTTTGTGAAAAGGGTTGGGGCTGTGGGGTGTCTAAAGTGTGTTTCTTGGAGGCATGCGATATCTACCGAGTTTTTCTTAAGGTCTTGGAACAGCAACCTGCGTTTTCCCGGTGAGTTTAATCCTTTAACATTATAGGACACTATTCTCATAATGATGTGGTTGTGGTTGGTGACCCAAGAGCTAGTACTTGTGGTAGAAGAACTACGTTCTAGGTTTTACACCCAATGTTTCGGTGAAAGCCTTTGTGTGGCAGTTCGGTGTAGATGTCTGTTGCAAAATTGATATGGAGGCAAGAAGGGGACGGGGTGAGGTCAGCCTTTAGCTGTTGTCTTTGTGTCGTTTCAGTATGTATGGGGGAGGGAGGGGTAAACAAAGGACTTAACCCTATGAGGCTCCTCTGGATCGAGCCTGTTTGCGGCGCCCAAGGGTCGCACGCAGTCTGGGGGGGTGGTGGAGTTGGGACTTCCAGTGCGGAGTGTGTCCCTGTGACAAGCACACGTTGGGGCACCATGTGTGCTGATGTGGTTAGCCTGTTTTTTTTTTTGTTTTTTTTTATATAGATATTCTCTCCCTTTCCGTCACTTCCCTGCCTGTGGGCCTCCAGTGTCCCGGCTCCCCAACCTTTGGTGTTTGGGCAGTGTCGTGGTCTAACCGAGAATAAATCTCGTTGTGGACCTGGCTAGTCGGCCTGGGAGGTGGTCAGGGGGGCCCCGGTACATACCCACGTATTTCCCAGGTGTAACAGTAAAATAAGAAAAAAAAACGGATTAACAGAGTGTTAAATACAATAAGATAACTGGCAATTGGTTATGAGTCTTACGTATACCATACGGTCATGCAGTCTCTTTAGCGGGATGCCCAATCCTGGGCCAGGTGGGGGATTTTCGTTGGGCCTGTTTTTTGTAACTCTGCCAGCGGGACTCCCCAGTCTCTGAGCATCTTGATGCCTTGCGTCGCTGATGTGATGGCGTGGAGGGAGTCTCCATGGTAGACCAGCAGCTTGGCCGGATATCCCCACCTGTAGTTTACTCCTTGGTTGCGCAGTGATAGCGTGATTTGTGCCAGAGATTTGCGGTACTGTAATGTCTCTGCCGAAAGGTCGGAAAAGATTTTGATGTTGGAGAATTTTTCCGGCATCCCTCTATTCCTGCTGGCTTTGATAATTCTTTCTCTGGCATGGAAGAAATGTACTCTTGCTATGACGTCTCTCGCTGCTGTATTGGGTAGGTGACTAGGTCTTCTGAGGCGATGTGCTCTGTCCAGCAGAAGTTGGTCCGGGTGTAGTTCTGGGGTCATCTGTTGGAACATGTCTTGCAAATATTTATCTAGGTCCGCATTTGTAACTGATTCAGGTATCCCCCTAAATCGGAGGTTATTCCTCCTAGACCTATCTTCCAGGTCTGCCAGCTTGATCTTTTGAGCTGTAATGACATCTTCCATTTCCTGCATTTTATCAGCCACACTGTTATGTGCCATGGAAAATTCGTCCATCTTGGATTCTAGATGTGCAGTGCGTGTCCCTATGTCCTGCAAGTCTTTCCTAAGTTCGTTTGTCAGTGTCAACATTTGAGCCTTAAGGCTTCTTTGCACTGTGTTTGTGAGCTCTGTCATCATACCTCTCATAGTTGCCACTGTGAGTGGTTGGTCCTCAGCAGTTGGTGCTGGGGAAGCTGGGGATGCAGGAGAGCCCTCCCGGGATCGTGGCGGGCCGCCATCTTGATCGGTATCTTCCCGCGCTTTTTGTGAAGTGGCTTTCGCTTGAAAGAAGGACGCTTTATCCGTCCTCGCTGGTTTCGGCTTTTGTCTCTGGGACATGGTAGGTAGCAGTCTGCCGTCTCGCTAGTGCTGGCGCTCGGTAGCCCGGTTATTTGGGTGCCCCTTGACCGTGCAGCTCGAGCGCTTAGCCACGCCCCCCTGTACACATCTTTTAAGTGTACAAGTTAAATAATTTCAAACAGCTGACATGTTAACCAATTTTAAACATACTGCACATCATGTTATCTGTAACTTGAGCCTTGGATCAAAACAGGCAAAGTGTATTATTCCCAACAACGGGAATATTATTATTAAATTCACAACGTAAACATATATAATCAAAAATGGGAATAAAATCTATTTCCCCTCTTTGGACCAGGGTCTTGGATTACCAGTGCACCCAGTGATCTTGGGCCAGGTCAAAAAAATCCAGTGGCAAAAATTCATATTTGAGGAAAAAAGCACATCTGGGTAAACTCTAAGTGAGGGCCATGACTGTGTAGACATGCATTCCCTCACGTTGACAGCATTAGTGACTTATAAAACCTGCACTTTGTAAGTAAATAGCTCAGGTATCGGGATTGGGAAACACTTCTTGATGAGTTTGAAAAGGCCCACTTACATATTAAATCATAAGATAATTTCTAATCAGTTTGCAATTCTAGCAATAATCCCAATCATGACCTTGTGTCCTATGCCTCCTAATCAAATCCCTATTTCGATGGTCCAGTCATATCCACACTTAATACATTGGAATCCATCCTTGGTACACTCAACATGCATCAATGACACACATAGTACATCCATGCCTGAGTAAGCTAACACTTCCTCTCTCTCCGGCTAACTCTACAAAAATAAAAATAACAATAGTTCAATAGTCCAGCATAGTCCAGAAAAATATAAGTCTTTCAAGGAGTATAAAGAATCTTAGACACCATAACATAGCTAAGGGTAGCAATATGGCTGACAACAAGACAATGTCAGCTTCCACATAGTTCTTAATTCTTCTGTTTGCTGGATGTTCACCACAATACTCTGTGCAACACCCCAGTTGTTGAAAGGGGTAATACAGAAATAGCGGCATTAGACAGCGCTGCATCTTCAGGACTTTCCAAGTTAGTTTATGCCCTTATAAGTAAGCATCTCAGTTTCTTCGGCCAGCATGGTTTTTGACCAAACAGATTTAATTGCCAAAAAGGTAGGTAGGCAGGTAGGTCAGCCAGAGAGATTGGTGTGTAGTCCCAAATATCAGGCGGCACAAATACTCCAGTACGGTCTCTATAATCATACAAACACAAGGATCAGTACGACATCAATAAATTAATTATCTAGGCTAAACTCAAATAGGAGACTAAAGTTAAACTCTTAACTAGTGTAACATGTACTTCTCTCAGTTTTGCTTATAATTCATTGAATTTGTCCTTTATAAAATTTTAATACATAATTTCCCTTTAGAATGCCTTGTATGGATGAGAGAAGCACTCATTCTATATAAATGCTTGTTGAGTACTAAAACACTAACATATACATATTGGTATAATTCCCAATAAAATGCTGTTCTTAAATTTAAACCTTGATTTGATAATCTCAATTAATTACTTTAATAAAATTGGAATGCTGAAGTCTGTCAGAAATTTTGTGGACCCTGATAACATCTTTGGAAACCGAAACCTTTTATAGATCCCGATGTCCAAAAAGCCACCAATTCTGTATGTGTGTGATCATGTTTTAATACATGGTGGAACCTCCATACAGTTATCCCACTTAAACAATATTATTTTACAGAACAACTAGGAGAAACAAAATGAATTACTATTGTTCTAAAGTGCTTTGTTTATTACAGGTTTCGGAAGAGTTTCTTGCTGTGTTGCAAGTGGCCTCCGATAAGGAAGGGACAGCAAACTGTAGACATATGTTATATTAAGTTGCCCTCACTTGTCAGGTCTTGGAAACCCACTTATTTTATTGCAGATGCCTCTATGATACCACGTTACAAATTGACTAAGCATACTTATTATTATCCTATTTTATTTTAGTTATTTCACATTGTGCAGCCTATGCAAACAATGTCTAGGTCACAACTTCAGCTTGTACATCCTCTAAGAGCCAGCATTAATACTGTTTTATCTATCAAAACTATATATAAAGTATTAAAAACATGAACCATCTGTGTATTAGGCTGAGGTTGTTGAGTGTGGGTATAGCTTGAAAGTTGTGGTTGGTATTGAGGAACCTGCCAGGGTGGGAGTCCTTGAATGCCAGCTTGGCCAGGTTCTCCCCTAGCACCGGGTTCTCCTTTGTCTCCTTGAGCACCAGGTTCACCATTGTTACCCTTAGGTCCAGGGGAACCTCTGGGGCCCTGAGGTCCAGGAGCACCACAGGCACCAGGGAAGCCAGGGACACCAGCAATACCAGTGGGGCCAGCTTGACTAGGAGAACCGGGTTCACCACGAGCACCTTGGGGTGAATCCCTGCTATCCATAATTAAAACAGTGCTGAAGTTACTACCTCTACAAAAGTTAGATCCTTTGATCAAATTCTCTACCTCTGCCTCTAAAACCTTTCTGATTCAATCTCCTATCACCTCCCAAATCTCGCCTGCTTAAGATCACAATCCTTTTGTCACCGATACAACATACTTTTCCCTCTTTCTTTATATCAAAACAACCTGCTGTATCTTTCTCATGAATCTTCCCAAGAAATTCAGTTGGGGTCAAAGAGGGCTAGTCACAGACCAACAGTTTAACCAAAAGTGAACAAGGAGGAAGCATATTCCATATGAAGATCGAGATTACCTAACTCACACCCCCTCTTTGTGTACACCTCTTTGTGTACCACACAGATATAATATTAATAAGCTTTTGAAGATTTACTGTGCATGTATAGCACGGTTGTCTAGGGGTGTATACATAAACAGTGAAAGCAGAGTCTTCATATAGGGTTTGCAATACTGACAGTCTGGGTCATAGGTGTAATGCAGACATGCGGTTAGGAACTTTTCCATTGTCAGAATACATTGAAAACACTAATATATTGCAAATATTAAAATCATATTGCAGCTGTTTCCTATACCTGCAAGGATATGGTTGTAATACTTCAATTGAGTTCAAATTGAGTATCAAAAATTCTTACCACCAAAACTAAATTTTATATGCTTATCAAAAATGAGTTTAACCCCTTTGCAATTTAATAGGGTGACCTCTTCCCATAGTATGGTTCGTTTTATAATTATTATATTATTTATTCTCTTCTGGGTCTGCAAAATGCTTTCAATATACCAATACAAATATAATACAGTAGTTTAGAATTGCCTCAAAAGAAATCTCTAAAAATACCATTTCATAATTTTGTTATAATCAATGAGGCATACTAGATGAATCTTAATCTTGGATAAAACCTATCCTATACATCCATAATTTTTCTTGTTATATAACCATATAACATTACAATTGTTTATGTTAAAGATAACAAATTTTTCTTTTCTTAAATAATGCAATGCACTTTAAAAGTAGAGTTAACTCTAAATACTCCCCTAATAATACTGAAACGTGGATCCACGATTTTGAAAAGCAAATGATATATTTTTTCTTTTTCTTTCCCAGGGACCCCTTTCTTGTTGGCTGATCAGCGTTTTTTTTAATCTGTTGTAAAAAGACACTAAAGGCTTGCGTTAATGACATGCAAATATTCTTTAAATATTCTTCATACTCATTGTAATATCACACGTCATCTTATAACACAGAACACAACGAAATTAGCAGATATCCAGCAGACATGCCAATACAAAAAGCATATTCATGGACAGGCAATTAACTCAATCCAAAATAAATTAATAAATGTCACACTCTGTGACAGACATAATATAGGTTCTCATGTTTGTGCATTATGCATGTCTGCAAACTATGCAAGCAGTACTACTTTAAGATTAGATCAGAGCACCTGGCAACTGGACAGGAAAGTCAAATTTTGGCAGGAAGTCCATTATTGCAACAGAATTTTGGAAATCAGCTAAAATTTACAAAAACAGACTCCCCTTTTTTTTCTTTCTTAAGACTACAACTCATATTGCTCTTGGACTAGTATTCAATAATAAATCAGTTATTTAATAGATTATTACGCTGCCATTTTCATCTGTATCAATACTAAGACAAACTTATTCAAATATAATTTAAAATAACACAGCAAAATACCCATTAACATACATGACAATTAAACTGCATACTTCAAAATGAGTACCCAAAACACACATTTATCACAATCACCATTCACACAGAATAAACTTCTAACAGCTGTATTCAGAACATATTATTGTAAGGTATACCAATTTTAGTTTGTATCAGATTTATTTAAGAGTTCTGGTACCAAAGGGTTTATTTTTTCTTTTTTAAGAAGGGATCCCGTACGGCCATATAACGCGTTTGACTTAAACATTTGTATAACACTTGCATTAACCAGTTGCAACATATGAAACCTGTCAATGGAATTTCTCTCTTATACGCTTATAGAACATTTGGACCAGATTACACAGACATGGTATCACCTGCATTTGTCAGAACTCTCAAAGACTCAAAATATTTATACTACTCCATGTTAAAGGCATGGCAAAATTTTGACCGGTCAATTTGAGTTTCCAAAAGTCATATCAACACAGGTAAAAACCTTTGTCCATGGTTTTCTGATCCTACATTTCCATGACCAAAATTTCAAACCCACTTCTTCACAGTTTGGGTCACAATCAATAAAATCTCAGCATCCCCATTCAACAATTTACAGAATACATACAATTTAAAGCACATACAACATGTGACGTACTGGAATACTACAAGTTAGCTTACAGCACAAAAATGAAGCATGTGTTGGAACGCTGAAAACATAAATTTTGCTCTCTTCTAAATTTACAACATAAATTTTCTGCAACAAACACTTAGGGCAGAAAGAATGCGGTGTTTGACGTTTTGAATGAAGTGACTTTTTGTCCCAATATGAAAATAAAGGGCTCATCATATAAACAATCATACATCCCACTCTCATTAAAAAGTGTAGTGGGCTTATAGTACTTTTGTCCAAGTATAAAAATAAGGGGCTCATTATGCAAACATACATACATGCAGAGAATTTATGTTAGTTCTAGAATCTGTAGCCCCCCTTAAATAACCTCTAATTTTTTTCTTATTCATCATCATCTTTACATGTACTTTTGACATTCCCTCAATTAAGACTTTATGCTTAAAATCAGCGTTGCACATCATAAAATAGCACATAAATTAGCAAGCCGGAGTAATGCCAAACATCCATCATACCTTTTAATTGAAAACTAATTTTTTTTATATATTAAAAAATATATTTAAAAGAAATAGCAGAGCTGTGACTACAGCCAAGTTGAATATTTTTTCCCAATTTACTATTTTAGACTTAAAGGGACACAATAGACACCCAGACCACTTTATCTCATATAAGTGGTCTGGGGGCACTGCCACAGTCTATTTAACCCTGCAGTGTTTGTGACTAAGTGGCTACTAAAAAAAGACTGAACATACCCCATTTGCAATACCCGAGGTTGTCTTCTTTGCAAATGTTATGTCATCATGGGGGTAATTCTCATTCCTGGGCTAACATACGCTCTCAAAGGCAACATAAGCAATCTGGCAAATTTCAATGTGAAAACTGCCTTATATTTGACCCTGTAACTGTAAAAAAAAAAACTATAAAACTGTACATGGGGTTACTGTTATATTTGGGAGACTTCGCTGGACACAAATACACAAATAAACAGTAAAACGTATCACAACAATGATATCATCAGTGAAAGTGCCCACATGTACAGTTTTTTGGGGTGTCATGGAAAGTTACAGGGTTAAATACAGTGCTAGCAAATTAAGTACTCTGGACTTTCGGCCTGGGTTGTCAGGCAGGTCCCTCAAATTGCAATCAATTAAATTACTTAATTATTCAAAATATTACATAAATATGCACATAGAATATATATATATATATATATATATATATACACATACACACATACATACATACACATTTATATATTTGAAGTCTACGTGTATATTAATTAAATTAAGAAATTATGTAATTATGTATATGGATATACATATATATATTTTGTATATAAAATAAATTATATATATATATATATATATAATTTCATTCTAAATAAATATATATTAATATCAAAATACAGTTAGAATAAAATTACATATATAATTTTTGTAATATTAAAAAAATGTTTTACATGTTTTTATTTTTATTTACTTATTATTTATATTTTATAATAATATATATAAACAATATATATAGTTATTTATATATATATATATATATATATATATATATATACACACACACACACATATACACACACACACGTAATTTTATTATAAGTAAATTTTTACATTAATATAGGTATATATTAATATAAAAATACACTTAGTATGGCATTATATATATATATATATATATATATATATATTTATTAAAAATTTTTATTTGCTAGTGGGTCTTCACTGAGTGC